CCCGGCCTGGAAGGATCTTTAACTCAGGACTTGAAAGACCACAGAGACCCACACGCTGGATGAGAACAATTCAGGGTTGTCTTGTTCTTGACGTGTCCAACTATCATTAAAAGGCCTGTAGGCTGAGCAGGCAGTTCTGTTCAGAGGCTCTTGTGTCCTATAGAGCCTCAGAGGGGTGCTAGGTCTGCTATGTGCTGGATGGGGGCTTCCTGCTTAGAGCCTTCCCCAATCCCCTCAGTTCTATACCTCATACTTTCTGTTTTAAGTGTTGTGAGGATTAAGACTTTTTTATTTATATATATACATAAAGAGCTGTTGTGCCAGGCTCAGAGAAGGTCCTCAGTGTCAGTTACTTTCCCTGCCTCTTTTCCTTCCCACGAGATAACTCAATCCTCAAATTCTGACCCCAGAGGAAACAAAGGAGGGGCTGAAACTGAGCCCGTAGGTGTTGGGCAGCTGAACACATTCCATACACTTTGTGGGGTAGGGAAGGAAAAATGGGTGGGGTCTTTCTGTAGAAAGGTCTCCCCCTCCATGAGGTAATCTTTCACATCATTCACCTGGATACATAACATTAAGACCTGTATTTATTTGAAAATAGATTTTTAAAAATCAGTGTCTTTCATTTCATCTTGTGACTCAGTACATACTCAATAACAAATTCTATTTCATGATTTTAAAAATGATGCTCATTAACATACTAAAAATTTACATACAATGGACCAAAGCAAAGATATGCAGTCACTCCAAAGAGACATTATAGCTACTCAACCAGACAAACTAGATTGTAACCTGATTAAACATATTAATCTGAAAAACATGTCCATCAGAGGAGCCCAGGCAACCCTGGCTGCAGAAATCGAGAAGAGCCTCAGAGGCAGGAGGCATCCACACACCAGGAAGGGAGAGGGAGTCGTACTCCAAGCCTTGTGGCAACTTTATTTCTACTGGAAAGTGACATTCTGGTCTCTGTATCAGTCCCTGTGAACTTGTTTAATGAGAGCTGTCTCTGTTTTACTGATCAATAATCAGGTTTCTAAACTTAAAGGTTAGATCTTGGATCAGGTTGAATTCACTAAAGTAATGAATGCCACTTAAATGAGGCCTCCTAGGAGAATGTTTGCTGGCCTTTCCCAGTTGACAGAGCCCTAACGTCAAATAGTGTGGCCTTGTGAGAGGTGTTCTTTTTAAAAAAATTTCGACAGTCACCATATATGCTTTTATTAATACTAATGTTAGTACAGTGTCCTGGTGACACCTCTTCTGGGAAGCCTTCCCTAATCCTCTCAGCTAGAACTATTCTCTCCCTCCTCTGGGTGTCCGAGCACTCCTATGGTAATCCTCAGTATGCAATGTTATGAAATTAAATGTATCTCCTCTACTGTAC